TTACCTACGTGTGATATACACGTAGAGACGATTGACGGACATTGTTTGAGAATGCTGATTGATTCAGTGATGATTGATTTTATTGAAATATCCCGTCGCATGTATATGTATATTATTGACTATATTGCTTGGCCGTTTTCAATAAAAATAAATTCCTGAAGTTGCTGAGGACTGGTTGGTGCGGATCACACATGACTTTGATTATCTACGGTGTCCACTACAGTATCGAGCAGAGATAGCGAGTCACCATCTGTTCGGACAAGCTCGCCACTGGTGGGATGGAGTTGTGCGAGACACTATTCCTGGACATCAGTTCACGTGGGATGAGTTTCGAGCTGAGTTCGAGGAGAAATATTACAAGCGACATGATCAGGAACATCGTCTCGTGGAGTTCATCAATCTCCAGCAGGGTGACCGTTCTGTTGGTGACTATGAGGCGGAATTTACTAGGCTCCTACGATATGGAGCTAATCTTGTTCCTACCGAAAGATTGAAGATTCAGAAGTTTGTTGCTGGTCTTCGCCCCTCTCTGCGAAGGAAGATCGAGGTACTGGAGTATCCTACCTTGAACCGATACATCTGCCAGCTCGAGAAGATGGAGCGAGGCGAGCGTGAGGAGCTGCAGGAGGCCCGGATCCGAGACCGAACCCCAACCAGAAGATTCTTCATTAGTCGACCTTCCACCAGTACTGGTCAGACTAGTGACTCCCGAGACAAGGGGAAATTACCGGTGGTTCGGCCACCACCACCACAGTCATCCCAGAGGAGGCCTTGTCCCCGATGCAGGCGAGTCCACTTTGGACCATGCAGTACTCCTCCGACATGTTACCAGTGTGGACGATCGGGACACATTGCGACATACTGCCCGGAAAAGGGGACCGCCCCGACGAACGCCAAACCTCTTCGCATTCAGCCTTTACAGCAGTCTGGCGTTGCACCGAGAGTTTACGTGTTGGCGGCAGAGGCCGATACTCAGGGCGAGGAGTACTACGTTGAAGAACCAACCGCTGAAGATACTGTTGCAGAGGAGGACTCCGAGCAGACCGATGCTGCCGCTATTACTGGTACTTTGTACATATATGATATTTCTTGTCATGCCTTGTTTGATACCGGGGTTACACACAGTTTTCTGAGTGTGAAGAAAACTGATGAGTTAGCTTTTACGGATGTCGATACTACTAGTCGATATCAGATACGTACGCCCGGCGGAGAGATCCTTCCTATGCGCGGAATATTGCATGACATGCCATTACAAATTTGTGGAAGGGATCTTCCTGCCGATTTGATTATCGTACCTATTCAAGGGTACATAACCATTACTTAAAACTAGATAACATGTTCCAACAGCCTCCACATGTGAGCGCATCTTGTTTCCCGAATAGATGCATTGCTCACTTCCCACTGGCTTCCTTAGGTTTTGCAAACCCTGTAGAGAATTCGTAACATGGATTGTAGAACCAGAATCAATCCACCATGTGTTGTGACCAACATCGATCATATTAGATTCATAACAAACGAGTGTAAGTGAATTACCTTTCTTAACAAGCCACTCTTGGAATCTCTGGCAATCCTTCTTCATGTGTCCCTTATTCTTACAGAAGAAACACTTGGATTCCTTCTTGATGTTTCTTTGAGAAGTCAATTTTTCCTTCCCTTTCTTTTTGGCTTGGTATTTCACTTTTCCTTGAGTTGCCAAATGCACACTCTCTCCACCTTCCATAAGCAACCTCCCTTCCTCTTGAACACACATGTTCAACAGTTCGTTGATCGACCATTTATCCTTATGTGTGTTGTAAGAGATCTTGAAGGGTCCGTATTGCTGCGGCAAAGAGTTCAAAATATAATGCACAAGGAAAGAGTCAGACATGGTAACCTCAAGTGTTTTGAGTTGAGCCGCTAAATCCCTCATTTGCATGACGTGTTCACGCACTCCTTTGGTACTAGTGAGCCTCAAAGTGGAAAACTTCATAATCAGGGTGTTCGCCAACGCCTTATCTGAAAACTCAAATTGTTCATCAATAGCCTTCAGCAGCATACAGACATTGTCATACTGCTCGATCGAACCCCGAATGCCAGATGAGATGTTTGTCTTTATGAACATAACGCTGAGACGATTAGATCGCTCCCACCTTTCATAAAGTTCAATCTCCTCTGGCTCACTCTCCTCAGTAATCGGAGGTGGTTCATCTTTCTGAATAGCATAGTCAATGTCCATCCACCCCAAATGAAGCAGGATTCTTTCCTTCCACACCTTATAGTTATCCCCTTTGAGCTCGGGAATATCGCATTTCATGTCAGAGACATTCACAGGTTGAAAAATTGCACAAAACAAATCAATATACATGCTTATATTAATAAAATTAAGGCAACTTTATGTGACGTTTTACCAATGTAAAACATCAACAATATGAAAATATGACATAAAAACTGTCTGTGGGCTAAGTTTCTAATTCAAATAGATTTATTTAGCTTAATGATGAAACCATCTGATTATATTCATTTCTCAATCCCTGTGGGTAAATCAAGAAACATAATCGACTTTTCACCCTAATTAATTACATAAATATAATAAAATTTCCTGTGGGATAAATTTTATTATATCAATATGATTAATTACAACCAATGTCTTTAACTAAATGTGATCCAATAACAAAATTTATATATAATTTTACTCTAATTAGAGATGTCGTGGCTTTTCTCTAATTTGAATAAATTATACGAACTACTAGATATTTGTAAATATAGATACAGATCTAAATAGAAATACAACCTTAGCCTAGTGGTTGAACCTTCCTTACCAAAATGTACAAGGTGATGTGTTCGAACCTTGCCTTTGAATTTTTCTTTCCCTTAGTATTAATTTATAGTTCTAACTTTGTTTGCAACCACGTAAATAAGTGTATTGGTGGCCCAAAGTAAACAAGGCCCATTTCCAGAAAATAAATCAGAAAACCTAAAAGTTCTCCTCGCGCGTATGTTATTCTTTGGCTCTTTTCCTTTCTACAGGCGACGTTCTCCTCTGTCCCCTTTTTTTCTTTTTTCTTCCGACGAGGACAGACTTCCTCCGGTGATGGTTCATAATCGACAACCACCACCGAAGTTGCCTTCAAACATGTCGTCGCAGAGCTAATCCGGGAGTAGAGGCATCATAACGGCTTCTGAATCACTGCATTTACCAAATCGACAATGCCCACCAAACTCTCCAGAAGAGTAAGGATCAAGAGTCGGTTGGCTTCATAATGAAAGAAGAGTCAACACGACAGAGAAGATAATGCAAAACAGAAGACACACAAGGAACAAAGCCAAACATATGACGACGGTTTCCTGATCTAGCATAGATTATGCATCAAGGTATTCTATTCCTCATTTTAATGAGTTATTTTCATAGATTGAATACAATATTCACAAATCTCTAAATTTCGATGTCAAAATTATGAATGCATCGAATAATCCTAAATTTGTGTATCTAAAAGAATACAGAAATTATTCCAATAATCATTTCAGATTCATGAAAATTAACAAAATGGAATATAGAAATTCATGAACGACATCATTTTTCAAGGCAGATGATACTGAAGCTCGGATACCAAATGTTAGTTTAAAATTATTTAAACTCATCTAAATCATGATCTTCAATATGCATCAATTGAACATACAAAAGATTCAATTGAACATACAAAAGATCATGAATGCGGAAATAAAATTCTGAATCGAAAAACATACCTCCAGCCATTGATAATTTTTACTAATCTAAAATCTGAGTATTTGATTCTTCTAAACCATGAGCAAGATAATAACGATGGTGTATATTATGAATGTTTGCTTGGCTTAGGGATCTCAATACCGTATGTGATCTTTATAGTCTTTTTCCCATAAAAAAAGACATCAGTTATCAAGAGGTTATCAAAAACAGTTAGCAGAATATGGAGTAAATATTGGACCATCACTATAATGGGTAAGTTATTTACGGAAGTTAATAAACTCCCTGCATTATAGAAATTAAATAATAAAAGTAATTTCCAACATCTTGGACCATCGTATGTTGTAAATGAAAATGAAATGTAGCTCATACAATAGTTTCCCATAGCTTTCATCTAGTTATTCACAATTTTGAACTACACAGTTACAGCTAAAAAGATCTTTGGATCTAACCAAGTTTTGAAGTACATAGCTTCCATGGGGTAAGACTGAAAGACAGAACCAAGTTAAAGTGAAGATAAGAGGATCGGCTTTGCTAAGAACAATCATGTATCAACTGTTGAAGGATAAACTTGGTGTTACAGTTCGGACATGTTATTGTTCGGACGAACACACTTGGTGTTAGGGTTCGAATGAACCGGATAATAGAAAACATGATAGGAGACTAACGTTCAAATTAAACTAATAAGGGAAGAACACACATTATGGACTGCAAACCTGTCAAGAATATTCAGACGGATCGAATATGCCATAACCAAGAGGAACCGCACTCAAGACATGCCATAATTAATGCAACATTATTTCTTTCCTTTGTTGTATGATTGTATAGCCATTATAACTTATTCTTTTTCCCAAAGCATGTACATGTATGCTTATATAATCTGTACAAGATGAACTCATGAATATAGAAGAAACACAAGTGATCTTTAATTTTGTTTATTTTGATCACCTCTTCTTTGTCTCTTTCATTTCACAAAGTTTCAAGTGTTCACTTTATGTTCGCTTCTATCTAAAATATTTAGGAAATCTTCATCAATGACAGTGAAGAGTCAATTGCAAGCTTTACATCCTTGAGGATACTTGTTAAGGCAAGAAGAGATCAGTAGAACCAAAAAGATCAAACCCTGAGAATTTGCAGCTTGGTGGAGAAGGCAATGGCGACACAATTAGGCCGGGACGACGGCCATTGCAGCTGCTCAATCTCGGGTCCTGCCGTGTAAGCAAGGATCGGGTCCTGGCGATGAGATCGTGCAAGTCGGGTCGATGCAGTTGATGCCCCAATTCGCCGAGGCTCAGCCTCGTTCCAATCGAACGACGTGACCGGACCACAGAATCTCGTTGCTATTGAGAAGAGACTTGATCTCGGAAATTCCCCATAGACGAAGGAAATCGCTGGACGTGGCGAGAAGGTCGGGCCTTTGGCACTCCTTGTCGGGGGATGAACATGGCTTTTGTCGGCGGGTAAGGGTATTCGAAGAAGAGGTTAGGATCGGATCGGATCGGATCCCGCCCATGGAATCGTCGTGCTGTACAATCTCGGGAAGCGGTTGGGATACTACTGACTCGAGTCTGAAGCACGATTTCTTGCGTATGAAGTAAGCTCGGGGAGGGTTTAAGCAATGTTCATCTTGTCGTGGACAAATGAAGTCTTTTGCTTATGGTTCCACATTTTTCTTCTACAAAAACAAATGAGGGCCTGTTTTCTAATTGCTTGGCCCTCGGCCTTTTCATTCGGCTCTATACAAACAGAACAAACAGACCTTTCAAAGCTAATTTTTACAAACTATATCATATATATATATATATATATATATATATACAAACTCGAGTTTAAAAGGTTTCAAATAGAAAAATGTTGGTGGGCCATTACACTACAACCAAAAAGAAGAAAGTTATCATGGACCGGTTGTTGTTGTTGCATAGAGTGCGTGTGCCATTTGGTTGCTGAACATAGACAAACACTGAAAGAGAGAAATGGACGGCATGCGCGTGCATTGTAGATTCTCATTAAAGACACCCAAAATGGACGGCGCAGACTCTCTCTCTCTCTCTCTCTCTCTCTCTCTCTCTCTCTCTCATGTTTCACCAACACAAGCAATTGCATTATCATATGTGAAATGTTACTCATAAATATTAAATTCTCCCTAATTTTTGTACCGTCTTTTGAACATTCCAACCCGTTGTGGTTGGTTACCTTGAATTTCGATTAACATAACCCTTTTTTTTTTAATAATATAACCGTGAGTGAGTGAGAATTGTAACCATGCAGCGAGTGAATCTCTCCAAGGCTCGTCAGACATACCCTGGGTTCATGAGCTTGCAATGAATTGCAGATTATTTATTTGTAAACACAATTCGAACATCGGGTTTCGAAGAATAACCATAGATTACTTAAAGATACATGTTATTGTTTATTATATTAAATATTCTACTAAAAAACTATCATATATATATATATAATAAGAGCAATTGTATTATCAATTTGATCATTGTATTCCTGATGGATCCATCATTTTCCTTTATTATTCTAAATACGAAATAATGGTTTAAATAAATTGTGATTTGATATATTTTCTAAACTGGTTTTTATAATATCAATGTAATTAAAGCCGTTCATGTTTTTGAATTATATATAAACATATGATTTGGAAGTTAGGGTTAGGTAGGTTTCTAGAAAATAAACTAATTAAACTCATAGTTAGGTGAGAAGATAGGATTTTAAATTAAAATTGGAGGGAGGGGGCAGAATGTGGTGCTCCCACCAAAATCCAATTACCAATTACATATGATATGGCTTTTCAGCTCCTCCACTAACGTAACCCCCACCTTTTCTCTGTTTGTTGCTTTTAAGGAAATAAAAAGTTCTCATACTGTCAAATGAATATTCTTTCTATTATATACATATATGATATATATATATATATATATTTGTGTGTGTGTGTGTATTTTTTTTTATTAACAGCGTCAATATTCGCTTTCCTTAAATTCCTATATAAACTTTTTTTAAAAGTCTAGGTCGCCAAAATAATCTTAATGATATATCAACATAATAAATTGGATGTAAATTTAGATGGGTGATAATATTGTGTATGGTATTTACTCAAACGTGATAATAGTTGAACTATTCTATATATATAATCTTAGATATCTATTATTTTCATTCGAATTTTTTAAAAATCGAAATATTTATATCCAAAGCTGAAATCGTGCATATAGAGTACTTGAAATCTGAATCACACCATCATACACTAAAAAAGAAAAGCTGATACAAGCCATCACCCTCACATTCACAAAAAGGTCGCAGAAGGGAAGCCACATACCGAAAAAAAAAACCCTAATCAATTTCTGACTTTTATTTGTTTGATTTAATGGCAAATATGCTCATGGGACCTGGCAATTCTCCTAGGGAAACCACCGCCGCTATTCCTCAGGCAATCATCAATGGCGGAAGGGACCAAAGGGCCCTGTGTTTTGCCATAAGAGTTCCAACACAAGGCTTGCTGCTGAAACCCTCTGCTCGCCTGGGAGGGTTTAAGCCTTATGTCGACCAGATCCACGTCCATGCACGGCACGTCGCTGCTGCAGGCTATGTGCACCGGCTGGACCGTGAAGCTGCCGACGATGTTGTCGTATCTCACGCCCGATATAGCCACCGCTCCCGTCTGGTTCTTGCACTTGTACTTGTCGCAGTAATACTGGTCTATCACTATCGGAACTTTCACATCGCTCACTTGTATCTTCGAAAACGTTACGTTCTTTACCATTCCTAATCCACCCTGCATGCGGCAACAATGATATATGTATAAGATTTAGTACTATATATTATGCGTAGATTATATTACATTATGCCTTCTTTCACAAAATATTCTGTTTCGGTCCGACTAACCCATTGGATTATATAGTATTTACGTGAATAATGATGTATACATACATATATATATATGCATATATGCACATGTGTGTGTTTTGTGTACTTAATATGATAATGATGTATACATACATTACATGTATATATATATATATGCATATGTGTAATGTGTATGTACCTGCCATGTCTTGATTCTAACACCAGCAAGGGTGTTCTGTATCGAGATATCCTCCACGATGATATCGGACACACATGCCACACTCTTGTCTTTGCCTAGTCCTCCCAAACTGTAATTAAAAACGATAAATTAATTAATACACATGTATGTATGTATATATATGTGTCTATATATGAGGATCCATATACATATATATGCATACACACATACGGACGTGTATGTATGCGCATGTACCTGATACCATGACCAGGGCCACAGTTGATGTGGTGGATATGAACATCGGAGGAGCCAGTCTGAATGGATACACAGTCATCTCCTGTTCAAAAGAAATAAAATTAAATTAATTTCATCTTATTTATGCCCTGTTGACACAAATATTGTAGTTAAACATCAAATAAAGCTAAGTGTACTTAATTACGATTTAATTAAGAGTCTTATGTCCATATATACATATATATACACAGGTATATACACATGATAGAAAAAGGGGAAGCTTTGTGCGCATGAAAAGTTAGTTTGGTGACAGTTATACCGTTTGGATGGTGTTCTAAGCCAATGAATGTGTTTCTTTTCCTATTTTATTTTATTTATTATTCAAGTCTAAGTGCATTGTCTTTATCTTTTCCCCTTCTGGCGAGTGGCGACCACAACGTGACAAGCACTTCTTCATCTTTTTGTATATACATATATACATGTATAAGTGAACCATATATATATATATATATATATATATACCACAAGCGATGTTGGAGTGTTGAATGTGGACGTGGCGGGTGTTCTGAAGGTGGATGCCGTCGGTGTTGGGGCTGTTCTCCGGCGAAGAGATTGTGATGTTATCGACATTAACTCCCTCCGAATTGTCGAATTTCAAATGGCATAACGGGCTGTTCACTATCCTTATGTCGCGGACCGTCACGTTACTACTCGCATAAAATCTCAACGCCTATAAAAAAAATACACATTAAAAAATTATTTCAACTTTAACAATATAATTAGTTACGGACAATGAGACACATACATAACGCATTCGCTGATCTTACCGTTGGTTTCATCGGAGGTATGTACTTATGTCTCTTCTGAAACAAAAAAAAAAAAAGAAAAAAGTGAGCCATAAAAAGCCGATGAGTCTAACATTAGTTTACGGTCGAATATATTGAACAAAAAATGCATATTCTAGGCTAAAATAAGAGTTGGGTTTTCATCATAGCTTAATATATATAGTCATGATATCAAAATCGGCCACCTGAGTTTGATAAACGTCTTGAGTAGTGTCCCACCAGGCGGAGCCACGAGCATCAAGTGTTCCGGAGCCCTGGACGGTGATCTGGTCGAGCCATTTGAAGTTAAGCCACTGGAACAAGCTCGATTTAGGCCATGTCCCAATCTTGTCCGGAGCCACTACGGTTCCATCTATTTGAACCACTAGTTTTTGCTTGCATGGACCTTGCAATGTCACCGGCTTCACCATGAATTTCTTCCCCGCCGGAATCTTCACTCTCGCCTCCGTCCCCACCTCCTCCTCGCAGGCCGCCTTCCAAGCCTCCACCAATGCCTATATGAATATATACTTATGATTCGGTAGTGAAAATGATATACACTTAGATCGTAGATTTGATATTATAAGGTTACTATTGTAGTTGTTTGCAATTAGGGTTAACCTAGAGTTTCTTATGTATTATTATCTATTTATTATGATATGATTATGATATACAGAAGAGTCTATTTCTATATGATATGAAAGTCTATATAGATACACGTACGAATTTCTGATGTCTTGCATGGGAATTCGTCCATCCGTTTGTGAAGTAGAGATGTTTGAAACACATTATAATATTAAACGTCTTGGCAATCGGACTAATTGAGAAATGAAGTAGAACATATAAGGGGTATTATGGTGAATATATAAATAGTGATTTTACTTTGGAATATTCTAGTGTAAATCTATAAATACATACAGAAAGCATTTCCTCTATAGTGTGTATATAGATATATTGTATTGTACTGTCAACTGTGTAGATTATGATGAGGAGTTGATGAATATATATGGAGGTTGCTTACCATGGAGTCGTCGGAGACACCGTCGGCCTTGGCGCCGAAGGAGAGAATGTCGAAAATGCCCTCGTGGGCGGGGTAAGGTGATGGTGCAGGGGAGTCGCCGGTAGGGGTATTACCGGAACTGCGTCTCGCCGTCTTTTGACGGCGGTGATGAGGTTTGCTTTTCTTGGCGTTATGTTTTCTGGCCTCGACGGAGATGGCGGAGACGGCGGCCGCCACGACCATCACGGTGAGGATAAGAGCTAATAGAGACGATCTCTTTGTTTTTTTCATTTCTTAGGAATTGATTTTTTTTTTCTTCTTTTTTTTTAGTTGGTATGAGAATATAGTTTGGTCGTTATTGGCAGTTTATATAGTGATACTTTTACTAAAATGGGCCTCTGTTTTTTCTTATTTTCTGTCATACCCTTAAACATCGAGAAAATGTTTTTAATTTCCTCTGTGTTATTGGATTGGATATATATATATATATAATAGGACCAGGAAATTATGACTTTCTTATAGTTTCGTCTCAAAAACAATAATACCTAGGAAATTGTTGGAGAAAATAAGCATACCTATGAATAGCCCATTTGTTTGTTGTTTTAGAAATGAAAAAAAAAATCCAATTAAATATACGAATTTGCTCAAATCTTGCCTATTATAAATATAATATTTTTACACAAACTCTAATGATGTAAACTGAGTAAAATTTTTCCAATGAATATATTCATCGGGTTTTTCACATCAATGTTATTTGATATTTTTTCCACGTCAAATAAAATAGTAAAAAAATAAATAATAACTATTAAAGTAAAAAATAAATAATTATAAAAGAAAAGAAAATAAAATTTTAAAAATTTTAAATATACACACACCCATATATATACACTCCAATATTATTTTTTAATTTGGTTTGTGCAAAAAAATAATTTGGTTTGTATACCAAAAATAATAATTTACTCACTTCCTCCACATAACTACAAAATCCTAGGGGTGGACGTTTCCGGAATCAGTTCGGGTTCGAGACGGAAATGTAATCGGTTCGATTTTTTCAGTTTTATAAAAATAGATACCAATCGGTTTTATATTCTGTTCGGTTCGGTTCCGTTTCTTTTAAAAAAGATATATTTCATTTAAAAATTTTAGGATTTATAAAATTCAGTTCGGTTTGATTCCAGTTCCGAAAAATTCGGTTTTCTAAAAATAGTATTGTTCAGGAATTTAGAACGGTTCGGATCGAGAAAAATAACGTATTTTTCAGTTCAGAACCGAACCAAAACGCCCACCCCTACAAAATCCAGCTCCGCATATATACACCCACATCCCAAATGCCAGCTAAAAAGGCTCCGAACATCGTAAGAAACGACTACGAATTAATTCACCAAGTCATCTTTGTACATGCCTAAGTCGAAATAATTTATATATGAAATGAGATGAAAAAGCAAATAATGAAATTTAGATTATATATATATGGAGTGGATAATGTAAATTAAAATGACTAATCATGTTTTGCTGAATAATGTCATATGAGTTAATGGGGTGTGATCTGTAGCAATAGCACTTTGCCTTTTGTTCCTTAATCATGAACAGTTAACACACTCCCCACGCATTCTCATATTCAAAACAAAAATCCAAAACTCGCATCATTATAAATAAATATCTCAAAATACAATTCCCAGAGAATTTATAAAATTCAGGTTATGAAATGGTAAAATGCATATCTGGAATACAAAAAATATTAAGAATCTCTTTTAATTTGAAATATGCATAAAACATTATATATATCATGGAATCCGATATATAGTTTTTAAAAAAGAAATAAACTTGTGTTAATATCATGAAATGACGTCAACCTATGATTCAAAAAGGGTATCATTCTATTGGAAATTCATTTGATTGATTTATGTTATTACTATCTTTTTTTTGGCATTCAAACTTGTTAATTCATTTTTTTTTATTGCGTTTTTTTTTTGGACAGACAAAAACCGTTTCCGAAAGGCGCAAATAATCATCACATAGATGTGTTGGTTGCAAAAGTTTGGCATACGCCAAAAGAAGACAGCCAAAAGGGAGTGTTATGTGTTAGTTTCCTATGTATGTTTATATTAGATTATCTGCTTAATTTTCAGACAAACTTAAGTTGGCCACGTCACCACACAAACTGCATATAATAATAATAATGTGTTCTTCATCCAATTCTGGTTTTGATGCTTGCGTGCATGATGTTCATTGTATAACACATCATTCAAGATCAATGGCTATAATGTTAGGAAAAAAAATTGAATGCAAAAGTTTCTCGAATTGCATTTTTTTTTTTTACAAAGAAACGTTTAATGATATATGAAGAAAAATGTTTTTATGGAGAGATAAAAATAAATGCAAGGTAAATTGGAGAGTAAGGGTTAATAGGAGTCTGTAGTTCATTTATATTATCTTTCTAAAACTACTAAACCTACAACTAAGACTAGGGACGAACGTTGTGGTATTCGGTTTGGAATTTTAGCGATTCGGTTCAGAAACGATTTATTCGGTATTCTAAAATTTGTATCAAATTAGTACCGTATATTATTCGACTCAGTTCGGTTCCGGTTAAACAGTATGATTCGATTTTGATTTTTTTTAAAATAGATTTTCTTAAAAACATTTCGGTTTTTCAGAAATTTTATAAAGTTTGATTCAGTTCATTTTTTGAAAAATTCAGTTCTATAAAAAATATATCGTTCGAAAATTTTGAATGATATAGTTTAGAAAAAAATTGAGATTTTCGCTTCCATACGATTCGATTTCGAGCCGAAACGCCCACCCCTAAATAAGACATAAATCTACAACAACAAAAAAATGATCGCTCCCTCATTATCCTATTGAAACGGATCATTATAAATAAAATAAAATCAAAATACAGATTTATTCAAATAAAACAAACCAATCCTTAAAAATTCTCTAATAACAATATTATTTATATGATTTTTTATATATAATATTTGGACCAGTGACAATATTATTTCTATTATACAACACAATAATAAATTTTTGGAGGTTTGGTTTTTTTAAGGGTATGAATTAATAATGCCCCCTAGATCTATCACTTGTAATCATTGCCTAAATTGCCGACATCAAAATAGCTAGAATCAACTATATGGTTTATACGATCTGCATGCATATGACATGTCACATGACAGATCATGGAACATGCAGATGATATCGTGAACTGAGAAGATGGGCCAATCTCATTTACGAATACGGGCTCCTCAGTCAAAGTCATTTCGTCTCTCATGGGCCACCAAAATCACCGGATCCTTTCACAAGAGACATGATGGAACATGCAGATGATCATGAAACTGAAACAGTTCTATTATATATTCGAATATATATATATATATATATATATATGTGTGTGTGCAAATAATGAGAGAGAAAATACAAAGTTGTATAATAATGTATGTGGTGTTTCGTGAAGTAGAGTATTCAACGTGGCTAAATAATAGCATTTGCTTTTAAGACGGCTCTTTGGGGAGGGGTCCTTCCCATGAGCTTGACGCTCGTGGATCCTTTGTCGTTGCTCGATGGATTCTTGTATATGTACATGACTCACTATTCGTTCTTCCGACCACCTCTCTCTCTCTCTCTCTCCCTCTCCTTCTGTGTGTGATGGAGAAAGACGACGTGAAGGAGCCGTTTCTTCTCCGGGCAACGGCGGCGGAGCAGGCGGGAGGCTCCGCTCTGTCATTGTCATCCTCCGCCGCGTTAACAGTCGGAGACGGCGACATACCTCCGATCTCCGGCTTCGGAGACTTCGTCAGGGAGTTTAACGTGGAGTCCAAGAAGCTTTGGTACCTTGCGGGGCCCGCGATTTTCACGTCACTGAGTCAGTACTCACTCGGAGCCGTGACTCAGGTCTTCGCTGGACACATCAGCACTCTCTCCCTCGCCGCCGTCTCCGTCGAGAACTCCGTCATCGCCGGCTTCTCCTTCGGCATCATGGTTCCTCTCTTCTCTCTCCTCTCTTTCAAAAAAAAAGATTCAAACTTTCCGAATTAAATTGGCAGAAAAAGTGATGTAAGTCAACCCTTTTCCGCAATTATTACAAAAAGTCTCAAACTTTAGCTTACCGATGAATAACATACGAGTTTATGAGTTGGTGAAATCTTCTGCTTTCTGCGTTTGCAATCAGCTGGGGATGGGAAGCGCGTTAGAAACGCTATGCGGGCAAGCGTTCGGAGCCGGGAAGCTGTCGATGCTCGGCGTTTACCTGCAGCGTTCGTGGGTGATCCTAAACGCAACCGCAATCATCCTCTGCCTCCTCTACGTATTCGCGGCGCAGATTCTCGCGTTCATCGGCCAAACGCGGAGTATCTCCCAAGCCGCGGGACTGTTCTCCATCTACATGATCCCACAGCTCTTCGCCTACGCCTTAAACTTCCCGACGGCGAAGTTCTTGCAAGCTCAGAGCAAGATCATGGCCATGGCGGTTATCTCCGCGGCGGCGCTTGTGATGCACGCTCTCTTTAGCTGGGTCACGGTGGCGAAGCTCCGCTGGGGGATGGAGGGATTGGCGGCGGTGCTGAACGGATCGTGGTGGTTCATCGTGGTGGCTCAGATCGCTTACATACTCGGCGGCACGTGCGGTGAGTCTTGGTCGGGGTTCTCTTGGGAAGCGTTCCACAATCTTTGGAGCTTTGTCAGGCTGTCTCTTGCTTCTGCTGTCATGCTCTGGTCAGTGCCTCGACGACCCGACCCGTTTTGCATCGTTTAATTTGGATTAAATTGATTATTATTATTTTTAAATTTATATAACGTTTTAATTTGTTGGTAAAGTTTGGAGGTGTGGTATTTCATGGCGCTCGTATTATTCGCTGGATATTTGAAGAACGCTGAGGTCTCCGTTGCCGCGCTCTCCATATGGTAATTTTCATAATAATCGGGATATGATTCTAAATTATATAGTTATTTTTACTTTGTAGATAAATAATTTTGTAAAAAATAATAATATCGTAATGGATCATAACAGCCAGCATTTTTTTAAAATTTGGAACTATTGTCGGAAAAGATTTTATATTTACGTGTTTATAATGATTCTATTGGGCTCAATGTTTGGGAAATGAAGCATGAACATCTTGGGATGGGCCGCCATGGTGGCTATTGGGACCAATGCAGCCGTAAGGTAATAACGCTTTTATCAAATTTTATTTTTACATCTTGAATTTTGAGGTGATTTATTTGGCTAATAACCCAATACCTAAACCGATTCGAATTGAATATCACGTAATCATAACCGAATCGAAGTAGATATAAAATCGAATGGTTATGATTTCGCTAAAACCAAAAAATCAAACTCGAATCCGAACCGAACGGAATAAAAAAATAATCGAAAAAACCGTAATGTTGTTTTAAGAAAATGAGTATTTTTTTTTTATCATAACCAAACCGAATATAACCGAATTCAAGTTAAAAATCGACGGTTATAATTTTACTAACATCGAAAAAACCGATTCGAATATAACCGAACCGAAATCCGAATAATCCATTCCTAATAGAGATATATTGTTACAAAGTAATCAAAATAAATATTTTTTCAAACAAGACTTGTCTTGTTTGGTGAAGTGTGAGGGTATCAAACGAGTTAGGAGCCAACCATCCAAGGACGGCGAAATTCTCCCTAGCGGTGGCAGTGATATCATCCACAATGATCGGAATCGCCATATCGGCCGTTCTTCTAATCTTCCGGGAACGATACCCTTCGTTTTTCACGGACGATGAAGCGGTCCGAGACATGGTTAGAGAGCTCACACCAATGCTTGCCCTTAGCATCGTCATCAACAACGTTCAGCCCGTCTTATCTGGGGTTGCGGTGGGCGCTGGATGGCAGGCAGTGGTTGCATACATCAACATAGGGAGCTACTATTTCCTCGGAATCCCTCTGGGATCGGTTTTGGGTTACAAGCTTGATTTCGGCGTAACGGTAACGAAAATTCGAAACCGTTCATAGACTCACATCTTTAATGATTTTCACACGAACAAAATGTTCTGAATCAATCAGTTTCTTTGATTAGGGAATTTGGAGCGGAATGTTGATGGGAACCGTAATTCAATCGATGATCATAACGTGGATGATCTGTAAGACCAACTGGGACAAAGAGGTGAAAACGCAACTGTCACATAACATAATGTTTCCAAAGACTTATAAACTTAGGTTGATGCCCAAGACATAAACACAACTAACCTGTCTGCAGGCTACAATGGCTGAAGAAAGGATAAGAAAATGGGAAGGAGGTTCAGATTCAGAGGATAACACCTTAAACTGAACCAGAAGACTGTCCTATGTGTCGTTTATGTATACATTTACATACATATATATACACAAACTGCCAGTTTCAACAGGATTTATGTGCATCAAAATCCAGGAAACTGTTGAATAAGATAACAAAAGCTGCATCCGCTGAAGATTTCAGAGATTGAATTGAATTTCAATCACATTTCATTTCAGCATATAAAAACATTCATCATCTGCCTCTCTGTTACTGTTATGGAGACCTTCTCAATTGAACGAAGAGAAGAAGCATGAACAACAAATAGTTTCACCGTTTCAAAGATCGAGACACACAACCATTCAATCATCCATAATAGCACATCCAACAACACCATCACTCAAGCATTATCATGAAACAGGTGGGTACCATTTGATCAAAACCCAAAAAAATGTGAATGTTTATGAAGAAAGATTCGATTTTGGCAACGTGAAATCACAAACAAAGCAAGCCCATCAAAACGCCAGGTCGATCAAACATCATTAAGAATTGGACGATAGATCCACATTAAAAAGCCAAGAACGCTCTTCGAGTTGTTATAGTTAACACACATAATGATAAAGGGATAATGATGTTCAAATCCAAAATTCAAAGATCTAGAACAACAAAAATAACAAACAGATGTATAGAAAGAAAATCCTACCATCTAAGCGGTGAGAACGACGGCGCCGCCGGCCTCCTTGATCTTCTTCTCGGCGGTCTTCGACACAAGCTTGGCCTTGACAACGATAGGTTGGTTCTCCGGCAACATACCCTTACCCAAAACCTTGAAATACCCGAACTGGGTCACATCGATCATGGGCACGTTGTCTTTGGTCGCCTTGTCCCTCACGTCCTGAGGAACCATGGACCAGATCTTGTCGAGGTTGACGATCGGACAGTGGAACTTGTTCCTGAGCTTGTGGAAGTACCTCATGCCCACTTTGCCAAAGTAACCAGGGTGATACTTGTCGAAGAGGATGCGGTGATGATGCATACCTCCGGCGTTACCACGGCCTCCGGGATGCTTCCGGTGCTTGCCGATACGACCATGCCCAGCGGAGACGTGGCCTCGCTTCTTCCTTGTCTTCTTCAGGCTCGTCGTCATTGCTGTCGCTTCCCTCTCGAAGAAATTAGGGCTTTTCTTTTGGGTGCGGCAGAGAAATGAAGGGAAAGTGGGAAACTAGGGTTAGGAATATATATACAGAGAACAGTTGATCGTAAAGATATGAAGCGCACCTCTGGGGTTTTTGGGCAGGGAGTGAGTGACGATGACTCCTCATTTTGTGGGTTTTTTATATGGGCCTACGGCCCATATATTCTTTTTAGTTGGTCCATCACTTGCGAATCCGAAATGAGTGTACGGCCGATCTTGGAAATGGTACGGAATCAGCAAGAGAGAAAAAAAGGCCGGAAGTACAGAGACATTATGATATAAAATACTAAATTATGTTAAAAGTTTCAATCTAAATATTAAAATTTATTATTTATAAAAAATAATATAAAATATTATCAAGCTTTCTTAGAAAAACTGAAATTTTAAAATTTTAATATATTCATATTCATGGTAAACAACTTTTTTCTGTTAAAAAGTTTAAATTTGTTTATACAATTTTAAATAAAATTGTTTAATGAAACATAATAAAACCTATGATAAAATTATATATACTCCCGATTATAATTTTTTTTATTTATCCGCTACTACATACATACATACATACATATATACATATATTTGTATATTCATACATATATGTATGCATACATACACATACATATACAGGATGCACGTATATGTATGTATATATGTATGTATAGAAATGGAAGGAATTAGCAAATAGATAAATATAGAAGAGAAGAAAGCAAAAGTAGGTCGAATTCATCATCTCATGGATTCATGGAGTTCATGTCATTGAAAGAGATGATAATTCTGCCATTACATGCCAAATGATTTATTTTTTTACAGATTTACATTGAATCAAACAAAAATAATTACAATATATAGAAGGGAAACGAGAATCAAAACGATCAAAAGGCTTTCCACTTTCTTTCCTTTTTTGGAGGTCTTTATCTTTGTAGGAAGACTGCTGCTCCGACCAAGCAGAACCATAGCGTCATAGCAAGCCAAAAGGTTCGGTTTTTCTCCAACCCAACCGGCGGTTTCCATACCAACAGTTCCCCCAGAAAGTCCCGAGTTGAGTTCAGCTGGTTCGTCGTCGATCCGCTCATTCTTCTGTCTTTATCCTTGTTCTTGTCCGTCCACGTCCCGGCATAGCTGCAACCAATTTCGTTTTACTTTTGCTTACGCTTTGGTAATAACCAATGGACATGTTAATATCCAAACAAGAAAGGCTTGTAAGGAAACTGAACTGCTTCAAGGCAATTACTTTAAGTTCATGGGTTACTATAGCAATCAGTAGTTAAGATTAGACCAGCACATGTTAACAAGAAGATACTTGAAAGTGAAAAGAATGGTTCTCAAGAAGAATTTATCTTAGTTTCAACAATAAAATGATAGAAATCCTTAAGATCTCTCGTATTATCCTAAATCAGTCATGTTACTGGCAAGTGATATGCCGAGACATGTATAAGTTGAAGGAAGGATTGAAGGTTGAGGGGGGAACAAGCTCGTGTACCTGTCGTAACTCGAACCGATCAGAGGTATGGTAACCATTTCCTCCTGAGATATCTTGAGCTTAGGAGCTTGAAGAATATACCGGAGTTCTGCAGCTTGACGTCGGATGCTTAGACTAGGATGCTTCCGTTCCAGTTGCTGATAAAGGGCAATGCAATCAGCGTGACGGTTATTGGCCTCGTAGGCCATTGCTAACCAAATTTGAATCTGGCAACCAATCCCGAGAACAATTCCATAAGCGTTTTAAACCCTAAACAAACAGATTCCTAACATGTAGTTCCAGAGGCTAATGAAGTGAAAAACCAACCTCACCGCCAAAAAGGGTAAGCTTGGGGATAATCGTAAGGGCGCCTTCGAGGAACTCGATGGCACGCCCATACATGCCTTTAGCGTAAGCCTTTTGACCCAATTCGAACATCAACTCTGCCGTGGCTCTCCGCTCTGCCTGCTCTTGTGCCACCTGCTCTCACCACCATGAACAAACCAAATCATTCCTTCTAGTTCCAAGGGACACTAACTAGTGATTCAAACAATTCTTATGAGATCAGCTACGCTCAATCAAGGGAGCGAAGCTTATATACATCATCAACTATAGTTGCTAAGTATGTCTTGAAAATTGACGAAATCCTTCAATTCAAGCAAAAGGGAAAGCTTCATGGAACCCTCAAAAACTTACCTTTTCGAGCTCTATCTTCACTCTCATCTTCTTTTGCTCCTCCGTCTCTTCTCCTTCATCCTCGATCTTATTCTGCAACTCCTCCGCTTTCCTCTCCAGCTCCTTCATATCCTGAAGCTCTTTGGCTCTCCTCTTCATCTCTTTCTCCCAATCGTACGGTTCTTCCTCCTCATCGGTCTCCTTCCCGTTACCACCGTTACCTTCACTCTCCTCTTCGCTGGACCCGGCGTCGAAATCGACGGCGTTAACCTTGGAATTCGCCTTTCCGCGAGTCAAGAATCTAAGGTTCCGAGTCTCGCCGTCCGATTCCAGAGGCTTGTTGGAGAGAGCGGCGTAGTAAGCGTGAGAGTCTCTCTTCGGCAAGTTCAGAACAACGTCAACCAACGCCGGACGGATTCTCCGATCAGTAACCACCGTACGGTGCGGGCCAACGTCAAGTATAAGAGCCACGTTCCCGAGAACCACCGCCATAGCCGCAACGCAACGAAGAAGAAGAAGAAGAAGAAGAAGAAGGAGAAAGACAATGGAGAACACAGGAAACTAGCAGGAGATATTTTTCTCGTGGCTAATAATTTAAGTGACGAAAATAGCCTCCGGTTCAACTGAATATAGCAAAATAAATATCACTGATTTGCCTAACCGGGAAAGGGTAAATGCGTCAAACGAAAATGCGGACACCACTCCCTGCACGAGACGCGTGTACGCAAGCTGTTCTCTCCGAAGCCGCGCGTCTCACGAAAACATTACGACGTCGTTTCACATAATCTCTTCAAATGCATGCCGTTTAGAAGGTCAGGAGACCAAACACCACGGCGGGTTACCACCATCGGGACGTGTTACATTCTCGATCCATTACACGAAAACGGAAAAATGAAAGCCGAAAACAGCTTCCTTCATCACCGACGGGTGAACAGCAAAAATTTGCATTAACCGAAGATTAGAAAAAATAACACGGGGAACGAACGATACAAAAATCTCCACACAAAATAGGGTTTCAGATCCAAATCAAGACCACATGAACACCAAATCACCGTTCGTCGGATCAGAAATCAGAGAGAGAGAGAGACAGAACCTAAACTCACCACAGGAAAGACAAGAGCTTGGTGAAGACCCACGTGTAGAGAACGGCGAGAGTGGCTCCGACGGGAATCGTGACGGCCCACGAAGCGACGATCTCTCTCACCGTCTCTGCTCTCACGCTGTTAAGCCCTCTAGCGAATCCGACGCCCATCACTGCTCCGACGAGCGTGTGCGTCGCCGAGATCGGAAGCCCCAGCTTCGACGCGACCAGCACCACCGACGCGGCCGCGAACTCCGCCGCGAACCCACGAGTCGGTGTGAGCTCTGTGATCTTCTTGCCTATGGTTGCGATGACTCTGTATCCCCACATCGTGAGACCTGCGACGATTCCGAAGCCTCCCCAAGCGAGGACGTCTATGGGTATTATAATCCCGCCGCCTCCGCCCGCTGCTCCGCCGTGGAGGATGCTCAGAGCGGCGGCTAAGGGCCCGATGGCGTTGGAGACGTCGTTACCGCCATGGGCGAAGGACATGAAGCAGGCGGAGAGGACTTGCATATAGCCGAAGACCCCGTAGACGATCTCGAGCTGGGTGCCGGTGGGTCCGGCGATGTCTGAGAGAAATCCGAGACCTTTGGGCGTTGACGGCGCCGGCGAGGAGGAGGACTTGGCGAGGAGGTGTCCGAGCTGTTTCCGGATGATTCTGTCCACGAGAATGGCTCCTGCTGCTCCGGCTGCTAAGGCCTGAGACAGAGCTATAGGGAAGGTGTTGCTGAGAGGTAATGCGGCAAAGGAAATCCCGGTCACGCCAAGGAAGACGGCTATAGGTGCGGCGGCTGCAGCCGCTTGTCCCGGGTTTGGCGCGCTGTACACGAACTGTGAGATTAAGACAGTGCAAAAAGGAAGAGACTTTAGTTTTAGCCTCACCTTCAAAGCGATCAATGCGAGATATCAGGAGATAATGATCGGATCAAGGGCTTGAGTACATGGATTTCTAAATCGGTGTGAAACAAGCCTATTTCTTTGCAATGGATTTGAGAGGTAGCATAGATATGTTTGAACTTACTCTGCGGATGAATTTGTAGACAAGAAATGAGACAAGGGCTCCCATGACAGGGGAGATGACCCAAGAAGAAGCCACCTTGGCCAGGGAACTCCAGAAGACGGCACCAGCTCCTCCGTACACCAGCCCAAAACCCACCATCGATCCCACTATACAGTGAGTCGTCGACACAGGCCACCCGTAGTATGATGCGACCTGTCGATTCAACCATTGCCACAGGTACTTTTATACAATTCCAAAGATTCTTATCCAAACAAGGATAGTTTAGTTGGTTAGTTTCTAGGTCATCATGGTTCAGGACAAGAACCTTTTGCAGTAGTGAAATATGAAAGCAGAACACTTCTTGTAAGCAGAAATCATAAGCACAATGGACAGAAATTGCAAACTTTCACAATTATCAACCTGTAATTAGATCCCTAATCGTATTCGTATCATGGTCTATTTGCAATCAGAAGCTATGATCATCTGCAAATGATTTCTCTGCCCTCTATTGAAATATTCGGTTATGACAGTTACAAAAAACGCGAACCTGCAACCAGGTTCCAGCTGCAGCCAAGGAAGAGAGAAGACCAGCGAAGAGCAACGAGTCTTTCCCTTGGAACACATTAGCCACAAGAATCCCCTTCTGCATCGTGCTCGTCACGTGGGTCCCCATCAACAGAGCGCCGGAGAATTCCAGAACGGCCGCCGTCACCACCGCCTGCCGGAGCGTCAGTGCTCCAGACCCGACGGACGTCCCCATGGCATTGGCCACGTCGTTGGCTCCTATGTTCCACGCCATGTAGAACCCGAACAGTAGAGTCGCATAGGACAGAAGCTTCGTCTTCAGAGCCAGACCTTGTCCTAATGACTTCATGAACAGTGGGAGACATAGAGCCGAGAAGGCGATGAGCGTCGAGATTCCCCACGCAGTGTTGGAGGAGATATTGAAGGCTTGAGCCATTCCAGGTAAGTCGGCATTCTCTGCATCTGCGACATGATCTGGTTTCTGTAGGTGGATTTGTTCCTCATGGTGCTGTTCTTCCCCACCAGAATCTGCAAACGAGGAGATGCTTGCAAAAGGGTGTGCGAGTTTCAGGGGGTTATTAGGGTTTCTGGACAGAGAAGGATCCTTGAAGAACAGGGCAAGGGGGCTCTCCAAGGAAGGAGCTTCCTTGAGAAAGAAGGAACCTTGAGTTCTGGGTATGAATAGATGAGAACCCCGGAGAAGAATGGAGTGGTTTCTGGCCGGAGAGAAGCGATAAGGAAGAATCATGTCTGAGAGAAACAAGAGTCCGTGCCTGAAAACAGAGCAAGAGGAGAGAGAAGTTAATCTTGGGGAGGAGAGGGGTAATGGGCCATGGATGGAGGTGAAGACGATGGTGATGATGATGCATAGTGATATCGATCATGCTTTTTGTTCTTTGGATTGAGGAGTCAAAGAGGGTCGAGTGATGGTGGCGCCGAGGAACGAAAGGATGAGGTGAGAGTTTGGAATTTGGCTGCTTCTTTTTCTGCCTTCTCACTGAAAACGTGTGGTTCTTGTGGATTTTTGAGAAAGATCTCTCTCTCTCTTTTTTTTTTTTTTTTTTTTTTTTTTGCGCTCACAGCCTCACAATTATCAACAAAAAAGGGTGAGAATTAGATGCACAATTTAAAATCGTTTTTCCCAATTCCAATATAAATATATAATTTTTATAACTTGTGGAAAAAATACGTTTAACTTTAAAAAGTATTGTCATATTCTTTAACAGTCGACAACGTTAGTCAACTAACATAATCAATCGAGTTAATGTATCACGATTTATATGAGCTAATTTGATGTTCATACATGTACTAAATACGCCACGTCAATTGTATATATCATATTGAATCAATAGATTTTATTAGTTATTAAAATCATCAATGTTTATAGGATATATAACAATATTTTCAAAGTTTGTATTTTTTTTTCAAGTTATAAATTTCATTTGTTTAAATGAATGTGTTTAGAAAATTCATGTTTTTTTTGTGGTATGTTTCCTTTTTGTAATTGTTAGAAAGATTAACACAAATGATAATTTTCTAAATACAAAAATAATTTTGTGTAATTACTTTCAATATCTGCAAAATCTATAAAGATAAAAATTGCGAAAAAGTGTAGTTATTATGGTATTAATATTTAGAATAATACAGAGGAAAATATCATAATTTAAAATTTAAAAGTAGGGATAGATGTTTTGATATTCGGTTCAAAATCGGATGGAAAATGGTTCCGTTCAGTTCTTTCTATTTTATAAAAATAGGTACCAATAGATTATTATATTATATTCGTTCGGTTTTGATTTTTATTAAAAAAAATGATTTTTCGGGTTTTTCAAAATTTTAATTAATATCATTTGAGAATTTTAAACAGTTCGGATATAGAAAAATACCGTATTTTACCTCGAAACGTCCACCCCTGTTGAGGGAGGTGTGAAAGGTCGACCGTTGGTATCACAATTTATTCATGTGGTTTGCAAGGTAGGTGTGGAGATGTTAGGTGTCCTCTACTCTTTTCAACTGCTAAATAAAATTTCTGCCATAATCTTTTGATAATCTCTATTAAATTGTCCATCGAATTGGATTTTTATTTCACTATAATTTCACAAAAAAAAAACATAATCCATTTTTCATCGATCATATATTAATTTAAACCATATAATTAATCAACCGTTTTAGGGTCATGTGAATATAAAACAAAAAATAGAGATGGTGTTACGAGAATTAGTGTGTGCTTAAAACAATACCAATAATATCAAATATTTATTTTCACTACATTTTATAAGTTTGATTGGAATCATCGAAATTTTAGGCTGAATCTCGCGTTTATTCGCCCTAAACTCAACAACCACTACGATTTAAAAAATGAGGAAATTATAAATTATTCCAAAGAAGAAATTATTTTGAGGAATTGACAGGAGTTGATTCAATAAATTTTTGTAAGCTTAATATAAAAACAATTACTTTTTTTGTTAAAATGAACTTATCCCATTTCTAAGTCAGCAACATCAACAACACTACTTTCTTAATCCTAAATTTATTTAGATCGATAAATTATTTATTTCCACACATTTCGATTTTGAATTATCTTTTCATGCAGCAAATTCCAAATCATTTCTAAATGTAATTTTTATTTTGAAAATTATCACTTTATTTCCAAGTATAATTCATATATATATATATATATATATATATATATATATAATATACACACACTTACACACCTTTGTAGCCGATTGGAACAAGGTTTGAATACAAAAAATGTAGACATTGAGCTCTATGATTGTTAATGGACCTTCAGGCCCAACTAGAAAATGGACAGAAATTTGAAGGCCCAATATTTGAACTCGACCGAGCTTTTCTTCGTGTTGGTGATTCGGTTCGTTTGTTTTCTTCTTCGCTTTCATCGTTTGTTCCTTCCTCCTGTCGTCAGTCCGTCTCTTGCCGGTTACTTATTCCGTCATGTGTCGTAGCCACGTGGCATCAAACCAAGCATCTGAATGCCACGTGTCATCTGCCTTATCCACTGTCGTTTGGTTTTCAAATTTTAAAAAAGTATATTAGTATATAAATTTTTAAAATTTCGAAAAAAATATACCAAATTTTCTGGATTTCCATTCAAAACCATAAAATTTATAAAGATTCTTCAAGGTGAACTTTTCAAGAGTATATATTTTTTTTTTGGAGTTATTAAATTTATGGATTTAATTGAAAATTAGAAAAATAAGTATATGAATAAAATTGTATATTGATATGGATCTTCTCCTAAATTTATCAATCTGCAGGGGGCAAGGGGTGTACAGGTCTTGCTGCATATACATAAATATCCTTGTTAATTTGTCTGAAATTTAATTATTTTATCTTAAGCTAACAACATATCCTTTGCTCTACCCCCAAGAAACTCGGATTGGATAATTATATACATAGGTTGTCCATTGTGTCCTAAAGGTTATATCTTTTTTTGGCAAAATAAAAATAGATGCCAATGCGATAAGAACATATTTTTATTTTATTTTATTTTAAATAATCAAGAGAATATCTCTTGCTCTGGCTGATCTCGCAGCTCAAACTTCGTTTTCATCTCGCTCATTCTAAGATCCCTTCGTCACTCTCTCTCGACAAATTTCTCGAAAATCTCCCCTTTTCTTTCTCCTGCTCGACGATCGCTACGCTTCAGAGGAATGGATCACGATCTCGACAAATTCCCCTTACTCTCATATGTCCTCCACCATTTCGATCCGGCATCTCACGCGCCGCCGTCTCCAGCGGCTCAGCAAGCGCTCATGACCCGTTTCTCCTACCTCACCGATCCACAGGTCATGTCCGCTCTCATCGCTTCTCTTCCGCCCACGATCACACAGACCCTTTTCGTCTTACGGTCCCTCGGTCCCCGACCCGACCCGTCTGCTGTCTCCGGGGCCCGTTCGAGGATCGCTCAGATCCGACAGAATCCGTCGTTGTCGCCGGAGGAAGCGGCAAAGGAGGCGGAGATGTACACGGCGGTGGTGCGGTTGGAGGATGTGCACGAGGGCTACGAGAGGCAGCTGATGGACGTGGAGGAGGAGCTTGTTAGGGCTTATGCTTCGGCGGTGGAGGTTTTGGGCCGCGACGAAGTGAACGAGGAGGTTGTTGCGGTGCTCAAGCAGGCGGAGGACGGGGTCTCCGTCGAGAGGGTGGATCTCTCCGGCCGGCAATTAAAGCTTCTTCCTGAAGCTTTCGGGAAGATTAATGGCTTGGTTTCCCTGAATCTCTCTCACAACGACCTAAAGGTAATCGCAGAAACATCGGCTCTATGTTTTTTGTTCGTATGTTGTTTGGAATATCTTGTTTGTTTTCTGGATAATCTCAGATTATATCTTCAGAAAGATCTCAGATTCTCTCATCGAACTGTTCATCTTGCTTGCAAATGTCATGAACTTGTCTGATTGGAATGATCTCGTGAATTTGCTTCACTGTTCCAACGATCTCGATTCAGAGGGGGAAAAGGAGATTTTTTTTGGGTTACTGAAAATGTCATAAGCTCGATTATATCTTCAGAATTTGTTTGGTTATTTCTGTAATCCCAATTTGACAAGTTGCCTTAACTTATGTGAATAAAGGCAGTGTCTTGTGGCAAAAGGGATGAACTCGTCATCAGATTTGGCTGTTTCATGTTTTCTGTGTCTGTGTCTGAATGGACTGGTATAGGTATCTTCCAAATAGCTTGAATCTTGGGTTTGTTTACTGCTTTTGTCTGTGAAATCCCTTAGAGTTGTTGAATATTTGATTAGCTTAGCAATTGCAGATGTAGTTCCAGGACCATGATGCACTCTTTGCGCTGTTGATCCAATTTATAGTGTTGGCACGTTAGGAATTTGTGTTGATCTTTGATAATGTTGGCTGGGGATCAGATACAGAGGAAAGATCCATTGTTCTGCACCCTTTTTGTTTTTGTAATTCTAACTTGCAGGATAATCTGTTTAAGTTCAGACAATTCTCTGGAATCTCTGAACTGTCGTCTGTCTGCTTCTGCAGTTCATACCGGATGCAATCTCTGGACTTCAGAAACTCGAGGAACTTGATGTTTCTTCCAACATCATGCAATCTCTCCCTGATTCTATAGGACTTTTACTTAACCTCAGGTTCCTTAATGTGTCGGGAAATAAGCTAACTTCCCTCCCTGAAAGCGTCGCTCAATGCAGGTGTCTTTCTTTACTATAATTTCCTTTCCCTTTATCGTAGTCTTGAAAACATGCTCATGTTCATGTCTCGATCTCTAGATCGTTGGTCCAGTTAGATGCGAGCTTCAACAATCTGACTTCTCTGCCCGCAAACATCGGATATGGATTACTGAGCCTTGAGAGATTATCAGTCCAGCTGAACAAGCTCCGTTACCTGCCAGTTTCGATCTGTGAGATGCGGTCGCTTAGGTACTTAGATGCACACATGAACGAGATCCACGGCCTTCCACATGCGGTCGGGATGCTGATAAACCTCGAGGTTTTGAACCTGAGCAGCAACTTCAGCGACCTGACTGAACTTCCAGACACGATCTCGGACTTAGCCAACCTGAGGGAGCTCGATCTCAGCAACAACCAAATCCGAGCCATACCCGACTCGTTTTTCAGGCTGGAGAAGCTGGAGAAACTGAACTTGGAGCAGAACCCACTCATGATACCTCCACAGGAGGTGGCTAAGGGTGGAGCTGAAGCAGTGAGAGAGTTCATGAGAAGGAGATGGGCTGAGATGGTGGCGGAGGAGCAGCAGAGGAGCGTCGAAGAGGCAAACAGACAACAAGGAGGGACAGGAGGCTGGCTGTCTTGGGGGACATCTATGGTATCTAACCTTGTATCTGGGGTTTCTCAGGCAGTTGCAGGACATGGCGGTGGAGCTAAGAACCCTAGAGACTCATATTTAGATCAACAGCTGTGATTTTTTTCTTTTTTTTTTTGGTGTTTGGGTTTTCTTGGTAACCTGTTGAACTCATGTGTGGTCTAACCTTTCTTTGCATTTGCTGGAACTGGTTTGTGTGTATCTTGGTCTGTTATTTCTTTATATTAATTATCATAATTATGGCATTTTTCTTCGTTCTTAATGTTGCAGGAAATGGTTAAAAAAAAAAGTAGCTATGGCCCTCTTTATATTAATTAGCATGAGATTATTGCAATTTTGTTGGTCCTAATTGTACGTTATTATTGTTAATGATGCGTGTTTATATTATTATAATTAAATTTCTGTATTTGGAAAAAGAAAAACAAAAACTGAAATTATTTGTGTGTGGATGGAGGGGGGAAACGCTGTGAATACATGGGCCATAAACAGCAGCCCAATAAGCTACTAATCTTAAACTATCCCCCACATAGCCTATAGCGTTTGAGAGCTCACGCGCATTCATCACGAGTACGAGACACGCGCCTCATTTTGATCATATTTGTTTAAGTCCACGCAACCGCAACGACACAAATTTGGCAAAAAGGCACGCACGTATGGGTTTATTTCGGATTTTAAAAATTCATAACCAAATAATTATTTAGTTTTAATCGGTTTGATTTAATTTCGTTTCAGTCATATCTAGTTAAAATTATTATCAAATATAAGTTTGGTTCAATCTGGTTATAACAGTAATTGGACCAAATATAGTATATAATATATATATTAATCGATAACGCATTGATGAACAAATGATTAATTCGATGATTAATTTGAATTCAATTATTCCGGTTTCCAAAATTAATAACTAAACCGTGATTTAATTTGAACGGTTCGGATTCAATCGGATGATAATTCGGTTCAATTTCTAAATCGAACGGCTCGACCGCCTCCCAGTAAAATCGAACTACTCGGGCCAAAGGAAAACTATTTGGGCCTACATGTAGGCCCATATCATTCAACTTTCAATTCTTCAGTTTTTTGTTTAGCCTTTTACTCAATTTTTTTTTTTAACGTTCCAACTACCATGAAGATAAGGGTGATAAAGACCTTTGGTTCAAATAGAAAATTATATTTTTTTGGGTAAAGAAAAAATTATGATATTTATAAATAAATAAAATAATTTGGTTCGAAGAAATTTAATATATTCCATGGACAATTTGGGGACAAAACTGGTTGAAAACAATCCGGCTGCAGAAGAAGGGAATGATGGATCTTGGGACTAGGGTTTTTTTTTTTTTATTTTTTAAAAAATTGTTTATCTTGGGACTAGGGTTTTTTACATTATCATAGAAACACTAATAGTTTTAGTTGTCTCATTTATTACCTGCCAGGTTCATGTTTGGCTTTTGGTTTAAATGACAAATGTATTATATAATAATAATAATAATAATAATAATATACAAGTTTTTTTCCTAACTTTATGATTATTAACACAAATTTACCTTTATAGACCAAGGAAGAGAAGTTTTCTCTTTCTTCTTTTCTCATTAAAAAAAGTGTATTTTAGTAATACCGATATTAAAATAAAATGTAGATATCTTAGATTTTGGTTATATTTTCAGTTTTTTATTATTTTGAGGGTTTAAATTTTACTAAAAAATATTTATTTAATTTGTAAATCATTTTTAAGACATTTAAAAAATATTTTTATATTTGATTAATTTAGATTTAAAATTATGTCGATTCGATTAAAATAATATGTAAATATTTGTATAAATAATATGTAGATTCAATTGATTTACATTTTACAAATTTATAATTAATTATGCCGAATAAAATCATAATCATAATTTAAAATATTTGTACGTGTAAGGAAGAAAGGAGAATAAATGTTGGAAATTTAGGACAAGTTGGAGTGATTGTATTAGGAGACAATATGAGCAGTAAAAAATTAAAAGGCGCTGATCAAACACTGGGCTTCGCAGATCTTTATATGCTCCTATTTATTGGGCTCCTCTCTTGCATTACTATGCAAATTTAATTTAATTTATTTATTATATGCACAGTTATATCGAAATTATATACATATATATATATATATAGCAACTGCGAATATTTTTCCATTTAATTAAAATAAATAAATATTTGACGACAGTGACTTTTCTGTGATATATCAATGAATTCTTTAATTTTAACATAATGGTATATACTTTATATTTATGTATTATAATCTCATCACCTGCACCAAAGTCAACAGTCCGACCTTATAAACAAAGATTTTAATGGAATTGAAGACAGTGAAAATTTTACGAATATAGATTAGGGCCGACCTCCAGAGCAATCAAGAGACTTCAAACTATATACGACGACGGTCCATATATATATATATAATGTGAATACACACATTTTTTATATGGTTAGTGGTAAATTTGTAAACCCTAACGCTTGGAAAAAAACAACAAGGCTAATAAAGGGAAAAGCGATCAGGACCTGACACTTATTAAATTATAGCCAAAAAAAAAAAAAGATTCAACCGTGCGATATTAATTATAAATTTTAACTTTTTTAAAAAATCTCAAATTTATTGGTTAAATTATATATAGCTATTCTTATTATTAGCCCTATTGATAGCCCATTTTCGATCTCTCACATTCCGTCGGTTATATTTTATTACCGGCTCTCTATCTTTTTTTTTTCCATCTATTTATATTAAAAATTACTAAAAAATGGAGATTAAATATTTTGATTAGGATATGTATACTCAAATTAAAATCAATAATACTTTAATATGATTTTAAAACAAATCAAATATGATTACTGAAAAATTAGATTAATATAACTAAAATTTGAATGTAAAATTAATTAAACAAAATAAAAATACTTATTTTAAAAGTAATCATTTTTATTTAAAAAAAAAAAATCAAATCGAATCCTCGTTGTGAACCGAAACGAAATGTAACCTTACTCTAAATAAGAGGGAAATTTGTATATTAGTTCAACGACAATTTTATAATGGTATGGATCTCTATATTAAGAATTGAGAGTAGATTTCAAAGTTCTACATTTAATTACCAAAAATAAACAAAGTTATACATTTATAATAACGCATCATAATGTCGGATTTTAAAGATTATAAACATAGCCTATCTTCCATGAACGTACATCAATAACTCCATTTGGGGCTATTTCCCATTAGTTATAATAGTAACTTTGTTTAAAATAAATGTAAAAATAAATTGAATAGAAAGGAGAGGGAAAAGGGGGTATATACTGTAGAGTTTAAAATCTAAGGGTGTCAAATCAAAGAGTAATAATTATGTAAGCCCAATAGGGGAAATGGGTCCTACATTAAGTAGATGCATAATGATGACACATATTTAGTTTTCTCAATTTAGATATTTCGTTTTCAATTTCAACAAAATTAAATAAGCATCTCATTTTTAAAAAAAGAATGCAGTATTTCTCATTTGTAATAAAAAAAAAAATTATGAATTCGTATAATAAAAACGGTCCCTATAATGAAAAAAAAGTTACGGACTTTTGAGTATGGAGGGTTTCCATTTTTCCATGAAAGATTGATTGATTTGGAAGTTTGTTTCTGACATTATCTCTTCTTTGTCGCCACAAATCTCCTCCCTTTATTTTTTTTTTTCCATGCCGTCATTAACTCTCTCTCTCTCTCTCTCTCTCTCTCAAACACACAAATGTATCAAATCGACTTAGTTATGGAAACTATTATTTCCAAAATTCCAGTTGTCATTTTCCATAAAAAATTGTGCCAATAACAAAAAAAAAACTACTTAATAAATATTTAATTCTATTGCAGAAACACCATAATGAAATTTGGTTTATACTTACTGAATATTCGTTTACTATTTAGACCACAAATCCCGTGTGTACAAAAAAAAAAAAAGTCTGTCTATCAAGTATTTCGAAAGTTTTTTAAAATAATTTATATATTTTTATGATAGTTTTCTTAAGAAATCCCTTGAATAACATTTTTAATCTTGTCCGCGTGCCAAATCGAGCGGATTATCGGACCAAAAATAAAAAATAATAATAAATAAATCAACAAAAACATATTCACCTTATTATATATATATATATATGATCGAAATAAGAATTTTGATAGCTAGAAAGTTCCATGAAGATTAGAACTAAAGCCTTCTTCCCATTCAGAATCTCTTCCTCCCTCTTCGTGGTCAACTAACGAAACCATGTTTTCAAATGAGATCGAAGCTTTGGGTCAAAAGCCTCCTTTCCAGTCAGAGTATCCCTCGTCTTCGTCAACAAAATTGATTAGGGTTTGCTCCCAGGGTTTTTTTTTTTTTTTTTTTTTTTTGACAACATGGAATACATTATTTATAGTTGTCAGAAATTACAAACGCGATATATACATATACATATATACACACACACGTACGTGTGTGTATGCCATTTTAGCAAACAAACACCTTAATCATAACTTAACCGCCGGTTAACCTTCGGTTTTCATCTCACTGATATAACTTTCATTATTCGAATCTAAATTACCAGGAAAATCCGTTGTCGTTCATAATTAAATATTGCTTTTGTGTATTTCAAGAATTCTATTTACGATTACAAAAAAAAACATGTATAATGTTTATGTGTAAAATGATGTGTAGATCGAACAATTACAATCTGTATTTAAGATACTAAAAAACTTATTTAATACGGTAAAAACACTGTTTAGTTATTTAATGAATATATTATTCGCATTACATATAAAAACTAGAAAGAAAATAATTCGGCCCAAGATTACACTAATTGTTGTCTAAATTATTAAAAAATCTCTAAAACAAACAAATATCAATTTAATCCCCAATTTATAATTTTATGCGTTAAAATCACAAACTCGGCTTGATTTTATCATTTTTTGTCGCTTTACTGCGTCAATATGACCAAAAAAAAAAAATCAACGGAGAGGTGATTTCTTTTGAACTATATGGACGGTTTGTTTAATACTTTATTTATATATATTGATACATTGTTATGGTATTCATTTGGCACGATTGTTAGAGAAATTCTTTCAAAATCTGTATGAGTTTTGATGAATTTGGGTCAGTTTCAAAACCTAAATTATATCTGTTGTAAATATTATATTTTCATTGCTCTGCGCGGAGCTTTGTTGCAATGGATACGAGAAAAGAGTCAAAACTATAAAATAATGTTATCACCATCACCATCACCATCACCATCATCATTATTATTATAATAATAATTTCAATGAGAACTGAAACAAAAATAGGAAAATTATTGAAAAGTGTATGTTACTGTTTTATTTTCTCATTTTTACAGAGATTTTTTTTAAAAAGATAAATAAATGATTTGAAACTTCGCATGTATACACACACATGATATATCTATATAATTCTTACAGCAAGAAGAGAATAAACTTCTGCAATGAATAATTTATACACAAATCTTTTTACAAGAGATATATATATATTACCCCCAACACGTAAAAAAAAATGAAATAAAAACACGTAACACGACTTTCAAGGAAGACTCGGATCAAGACCTCTCGAAACACGTTCTTGTAACAAATATGTATGTTTCGTTTGGTTTTGTCTATAAATACACATGCGAAGCTCTGTCTCTATCCAGGTACCGAACCCATCATTTCCACTTTCCCCTTCCTCTGCTTCATCTTTTTCATATCCATTTAGTTCTCCTGCAACCAAGAAAAGAAACAAAAAAGAAACCCTAGAAAATGGAAGAAGCCCTAAGAAAGCTCAACGGATACTCCCACGAACCCGTACCCGAAACCGACCCGACTTCATTCCCAAGAAAGTCCACCTCGACGGCGGTCAACCGGAGACGCTCCTCCTCCTCCTCCTCCGCCGCCGCCGCCACCGCCGCCCCATC